TTCCTGATGATGAGCAGTCAGATCAGGATCTCGAAGAGCCTTCTAGAAAGCGTGGTCGTGAGCTTGCATTGGCTGAGGTTGGGGATGGCTCCGAGCCTGCTTGGGTTCAGGGTCTCAGGCTCTCCCTTGCAAACGATATGGCGTCTGTCATCTCCACACAGCTTTCGGGTCAACTTGGCAGCTTTAACGAAAGGGTCAACATCCTTCACAACGAGCTGACCATTGAGGCGAACGAGCGAAAATCTGACATGGCTGTCATTAACAAAAGGTTGGATGACATGGATATTAAGCTTGGCAACCAATCGAAGGCTCAGGGATCAGGCTTTCGGGCGGTACCTCCCCCTCCTGATCCATGGGCAAGGACTCCGAATCTGACTACGCCCCAGGGGACTTCAGGACCACAGCTTCCCTCCTCCTCAGTTGATCCTTGGAGCAGGTTCATGTCCCGACCGGGCTCAGGAGGCGAGTCTGGAAAGGGCAGTGATGGTGGTTCATCCAGTGCAGTTCAGGACACGGATTTCAATCGTATCTTGGCTGGAGGTTGGGCCACGGACACACCACGAGCAGCAATAGAAAGAGATCTCTCTGAGGCGATTGTTTTCTGGGATCCACAGTATAAGAGTCAGATCACAAAGACTTTTGTGTTTGGGAAGCGCGCCAAGACGGCCAACATCATTTTATCCTCTCTTCCCCATGACCTCGCCAGAGATCGCTTCTACGCCATCCAGCGGTCCTATAGTAACAAGATCAAAACCAGTACTGGAGACCTGCTCTACTTCTCTCCCCACCGTTCTGCACCCCTTCGAGCAAAAAATAGGAGCACAAGGATGGCAAAGGACATTGTGGAGAGAATCAGTGGGCAAGGTTGTGACGATCCAGCATCTCCTCTTGAACTTGACTGGGGTCGTCAGCTTCTCTGGTGGGGAAAGGAGAGGGTTGCAGCAGGCACTGAGACCCAGCTCCTTGCCGGCCCTAGCGACCGAGTGATGCCGAGACAACTTATCGACGAGTACAAAGAGCAATCTCAGTTCTTCTTCAATGCTACACTGCTGGCCTCCAAGTGTGGAAGCTCGGTTGGAGACATCGAGACCGCAATTCGTGCCGTTCCCTGAACCCGAAACCTCGATCCTGGCTTGGGTAAACCTGAATTCATAAAGTTTGCTTGTTGGAACATACAGGGCAAGACTCTTGAAAACTTTTGTGCTTGGATGGAGGAATCGGGTGAGTGCCTTGACATCATTACTTTGCAAGAAGTGGGTGGTATCTCCGCGCTCCCAGTTGTACAGAACTATGATGGTGGGATTGCCCAGATCACGATGCATGAGTGCAACGATATCCATGATTATCATGCCTTTTCGTGCAGTCAGCTTTC